CGCCGCCGCGAGCTCCGGGGCCGGGGCTCGCGGGAGGCTGCGGGGAGCCCGCCCGAGTCCAGGCACTCGCGCGCATTCGTGGGGGGCTGAGCCCCGACCCGAGCAGGGGCCCCCCCGGAGCCCGTGGCCTTGCGCGGCCTGCGTCGCCTCGGCTCATCCCGCACTGTGCGGAGACCACGGCGCCGCTCGTCAACCGCGGCCTGACAGTCCGGCCACCCCCAGGACAGCCAGCGTGGGCCGCGGGCACCAGCAGAGGGACCTAGGAGTCGTTGGAGCTGGGAGGAAAGGACAGTCCCCTAGAGGAAAAGCAGGCCGCACGGCTGAGGAGGAGGGATGCCCGGGAAAGACACCGGCGCCTGATTTTCTGTGCTGGGTGATGACCCGACCCCCTTGGGAAAAGGTTACAGCTGGAGCCTGGATCGGGGCTGTCATGTCCAGAGGAAGCCGCTCTTTTACGTGAGTTTGTAACACATTTCTTATAAGGCTTTAAATTCATCTTCCTCCCTCCCCCTTAGGTCTGCTACAGAAGTGTCCTCCTTTAATTGTCCCCCTCCCCCAGTTCTCTAAGCCTGCTGGCAGCTCAGGCTCACAGTGTAATTTAGCCTTCGCTACAAGAGCTGGCGAAATGGGAGATGTGCCACTGGTATTAAGCTGGCCCTGGGAGTTTGGTGGACGTGTGGGAGGAAAGCTGTCTCTAGCACTGGCAGAGATGAAAAGCTGGCTCATATCAATAGTTTCCTTTATGAGTCTAGAGTCGATTCTTCCAAATCAAGAGAAAACGTGGTTGCACATGAAAAGTACCAGGGACTGATTCGATTTTCGCAAGTGAAGTGCAAATTACACTTGCACGTTGCGCTTGATGTCTTTCATCACACACAAACACTTGGTCATGCCAGGCACTCCGCTGCCTTGGGGTTGCTACAATGAGTAGGATAATTAGTCCTTGTCCCGGAAGCAGTGAGAGAGATGAAATAGCTAGTGAAAGTGGTAACAGTGTGACAGACGCGTGAATAAAGAGCTTGAGCGCACAGAAGGGAGCAGCGAGCTGTCCCAGAGGATCAGGGAAGGCTTTCCAGAGGACACTTCGGCAGGGTGTCAGAGGAATGGGAGCTTGCCTTACAGAGAGGGTAGGGAAGGGCAGAAGGGCATCCAAGCCAGAGGAAACCGTGAATGAGCTGTGTAGAGTACCCTGTCTCTAGGGAATGGCTTCATGTTGCAAATACGGCTTTTTCCCCTGTCTCCTAACACCTTTCCCAGAGCAACCTAGAATTTCTATTTTTTTGACTGTTTTCTAGTGGCATTTTCTTTCTTGTTTTTATCCATATGTTTCTGAGCCTCACTCCTGGTCCTGTCGCTCACACATCTCAGTCAGCAGTCCAGCACCCGGAAGTAGAAAGTAGCTCCCAGTGGAGGGCCCGAAGCTGGGCGTCACATTTGGCACTAGAAGCAGCACCCTGGGAGTGCATATCGAAATGGCGTGAAAGGAGGAGCACGTGAGCTGCAGCCAGGGAAGGGACACCGGCTGTCCAGTCCGTGAGAACTGGGGACATGAGTCATAAGAGCAGAAGCTGGAAGGATCTGGAGCAAGAGGAGGTTGAAGTGTGATAGGGGTCAGGGAAGCAGTCCAGGACTGAGACCGCGAGTTATGCGACTGTGCCGGAGCGGCTGTTCCATGGTGCCAGCTGTATAGACAGAGAGAGAGAAATCACCCTGGGCATGCCATGGTGCCAGCTGTGTAGACAGAGAGAGAGAAATCACCCTGGGCATGCCATGGTGCCAGCTGTGTAGACAGAGAGAGAGAAATCACCCTGGGCATGCCATGGTGCCAGCTGTGTAGACAGAGAGAGAGAAATCACCCTGGGCATGCCATGGTGCCAGCTGTGTAGACAGAGAGAGAGAAATCACCCTGGGCATGCCATGGTGCCAGCTGTGTAGACAGAGAGAGAGAAATCACCCTGGGCATGCCATGGTGCCAGCTGTGTAGACAGAGAGAGAGAAATCACCCTGGGCATGCCATGGTGCCAGCTGTGTAGACAGAGAGAGAGAAATCACCCTGGGCATGCCATGGTGCCAGCTGTGTAGACAGAGAGAGAGAAATCACCCTGGGCATGCCATGGTGCCAGCTGTGTAGACAGAGAGAGAGAAATCACCCTGGGCATGCCATGGTGCCAGCTGTGTAGACAGAGAGAGAGAAATCACCCTGGGCATGCCATGGTGCCAGCTGTGTAGACAGAGAGAGAGAAATCACCCTGGGCATGCCATGGTGCCAGCTGTGTAGACAGAGAGAGAGAAATCACCCTGGGCATGCCATGGTGCCAGCTGTGTAGACAGAGAGAGAGAAATCACCCTGGGCATGCCATGGTGCCAGCTGTGTAGACAGAGAGAGAGAAATCACCCTGGGCATGCCATGGTGCCAGCTGTGTAGACAGAGAGAGAGAAATCACCCTGGGCATGCCATGGTGCCAGCTGTGTAGACAGAGAGAGAGAAATCACCCTGGGCATGCCATGGTGCCAGCTGTGTAGACAGAGAGAGAGAAATCACCCTGGGCATGCCATGGTGCCAGCTGTGTAGACAGAGAGAGAGAAATCACCCTGGGCATGCCATGGTGCCAGCTGTGTAGACAGAGAGAGAGAAATCACCCTGGGCATGCCATGGTGCCAGCTGTGTAGACAGAGAGAGAGAAATCACCCTGGGCATGCCATGGTGCCAGCTGTGTAGACAGAGAGAGAGAAATCACCCTGGGCATGCCATGGTGCCAGCTGTGTAGACAGAGAGAGAGAAATCACCCTGGGCATGCCATGGTGCCAGCTGTGTAGACAGAGAGAGAGAAATCACCCTGGGCATGCCATGGTGCCAGCTGTGTAGACAGAGAGAGAGAAATCACCCTGGGCATGCCATGGTGCCAGCTGTGTAGACAGAGAGAGAGAGAAATCACCCTGGGCATGCCTCAGTCCTTTCTCCTCTTCTCTATTCTCTCAGGACTTTGGCACACATGCACACATGCCCAGTGTGATTTTCTAGCCATTGGGTCCAGGACTCAACTGCCGTTGGCCCTGTGGGATCCAGCTGCCTTAACCACCTCACCACCTGCTGGCCCTCCTTACTATTATCCTCTTTTCTCATCCCCATTTCCACCCATGATTCACATTTATTGGGCTTTTATTGAGGTCTTAGCTACAAAGCAGAGAAAATCCTGTTGGCTGGAACTATAAATAGTCTATTTTTACCTTCGAAGCCATCAACTAGCCAGCCTATTTTTACTTTCCAATCATATGGAAGCAGAACAAGGATGAACTCGGAAGTAGGAAGGGGAACCTCAACCCCAAAAGTCACTTAACGTTTGACTCAGATAAAGCCTTGCTAGCTTTCTATAAACTAGATTTATTCTAAGATGAATGGTGATGAATTCTTGGCAAAGCACCTCTGTTGAATGTATCAGAGGTCAAGCCACGTAAGGTGAGACCGCGGTGGTGTGCCTAATGTGCTCCACGACTGGTGACCCATCACGTGCAGAAAGTCAGTCATGTGGTATCTAAGCGACTGTCTCAATCAGCGTATTTACTGAACACCTGCTTGTGTGCAAATACTGTGCTGTGTGTGCTCTGGGGGACACAGGGCCGTGGAAGAGGTGGTGAGATATGCCACATGAGATATGCCACATGACCGAGCAAATTATTTGACTTCAGTTTCTTTATCTATAATAATACCGTCTACTTACATAGTTGTAAGGAGTAGACGAAATCATACATTTAAAGCGGTGATTCAGCACATTTTTGAGGTGCTAAACGTGGTATCTTGAGGGTCAAGAAAAGAAAAATCTTATAGCTTGATTATCAAGGAAGACTTTTTTTTTTAAAGAAAATGAATTATTTAACTTTATTTATTCATTAATTTATTATAACTTTACCAAAGAGAGAGAGAGAGAAGGAAAGTGAGAAAGCAAGCCACCAGGTCCAGGACTTGAGCTGTGTCAGCCATGTGGGAGTGTCCAGCGCCTTAACTACCACGCCACCTGCTGTTCCCCAGAAGGCTTTTTTTTTTAAGAATTATTTTTATTTAACTTTATTGTATGTATGTATTTATTTACTTACTTATTTTAATTTGACCAGTGAGGGACAGAGAAAGAGAGAGAGAAAGTGAGAAAGCAAGCCACCAGGTCCAGCCAGGTCATCCATGTGGGAGTCTAGCACTCTTAACCACCACACCACCTACTGGCCCCAAGGAAGGCTTTTTCAAAGACATGATGAATTTAATTAGCAGGAAGGAAGGAATTTTCAGACACGAAAACCAAAATCTTCATAAAACATAGGACCAAAATATAGAAGAAAGTCTTGAGGAGTCAACCGATGCAGTTAACCAGTCTAGCAAGGTCAGAAGGGTTGATCGAAGCCAGCTTGTAGCAGGTGCTGAGCACCAAACCAGGGTGCTAGGTTTTTTATCCTGGAGATGATAGAAAGCTAAAGATTTTTGGTTAGGGAACTGTGAGGATATGAAAGTAATAATTTAAGAAAATTCTCAACAGCAACATGGAGAATAAACCTTAGTAGGGAGAGAACGGGCATTGTTCAAGTTAGGTTATTTAAACAGTCTAAGTGTGAGAAGAAAAAGACTTGATTAGGGTCATAAGTGAAAAAAGAGGAGGTGATCTGATAAGGATTATAAAAGAAAAAAAATGAACAGGACTTGCTGTCTGACTGGAGATGCAGGGTAAGAGAGAAGGTGGCGTCACATGTGGTCATGACCCTGGATGAAGGATTGGCAGAAACAGGACAGAGGGAAGCAGTGTGGAGAAGAGGAGAAGCTAAGTGCCAGATACCTTGAAGTGATATCGGAGCTTCTCAGGAGACACGTCTCGTAAATATCTTGAAAGTGGGGTCCCTTGTCAGTGTTCAAAAGAAGCCAGGCCGTCTTACATAGAAAAGGTCACAATCAAAGCCATGTTATTAGCTGAGCTTACCGGGGTAACAGCATAGAAACACCAAAGACAGAAGCTTGGAGACTGCCCACATTTGGGGAGATGAAGTGAAAAAAGTGGAGTCAGTAGGGAAGAGAACAGGAAATACCAGAGAAGCGAAAGAACCATCTCGTTCATTTGTTCAACAAATGCGTTCTGCCCACCCGTCCCTTGCAGACCTGATGGGTACAGACTGGTTAGGCATGCTGTGAACCAGAGGGGTGTGTGTTCCAGAAGTCGGGAAGAGGAAAGATCCGAGCTGGACAAGTCGGTGAGCAGCAAACTGTACAGCAGGAGCGTGGGCATTGTTATCTTTAGCACTCAGGAGGCCATTAGTTACTTTTTGAAAACGGTAGCTTCAATTTAGTGGGGATGGAAAAAGGTGGCCATAGGGAAATTAAAAGCCGGATTGAAGAAGACTGTGGTGTGAGATGCAGATAAGAAACGGAGACAGCGTGTGGATTATCATCACTTGGCAATGAAAGGAGGAAAAGATAGGAAAGTAGTTAGAGAAGGCAGCAGAGTCAAGCAAAAGATTTGCTTTTCCCTATCTGCTTCGTTATTTTAGTTGTCCTGAGATAGTATTCTCCCTCTTTCATACCCTTCATTAATTTCTGAGCTTCGCTGCTTTGGTAACTACCTGTGCAGACGTTTGATTGGCCACGGCGTGCCTGCCATTCATCGAGTGCTCGCTATGTGCTAGACGTGCTAAGCGCTTTGTGCACATTCTAGGCATTGCCCCATGAAATCCTCACAAGACCGGATTATAACCACACGACCTCTTAGAAACATGGAGAGGCTAGGTGAGCCACCTAGGGATGCGTGGCTGATGAGTGCCAGAGATGGGATTTGGGTCCGGCTCCGACTCCAAGGCTCTTCTAAAGGACCATGCACACCGCCTCTGACGGCAGAGCCAGCCTCCTGGGTGTAACCTGTGCAGTCTCCCACGGCCCCTTGTTTAGAAGGGACCCAAGCTTGGTTTAATCCAGCCAAAGGACCTGTTCATCCTCACACCAAGATTACCCAGCAGCTCCAGCCCACGTGCCCGTTTACCACGGCTGTCAGGGTGCCCGGGTCCTGCTCCTATCTTCATTGCACGCTCCGTTGCTTCCTCTACCCACACGATCATGACAGACAGAATCACTGCAGTTTTCACACTTTCTCTTGTCTTGGTTTTATAGTCACTCTTTAGAATTGACAAGAAATGGAGTTTTTCTGGTTTTCATGATTATTGCTCTGTCAAAACCTTTTACCCGTCCTTTTGTTCCTCTCAATCCGAGTCTCTGAGTGACGATTTGACTCAGCACTGACCAAGGTTCTGACACCACTTGACACGAACTAACCCCTTGTCCAAGCCTCACACCAGCCGGCCGCCAGGCGTCGCTGTGGAGGAAGTTGGCCCCCAACCACTGCCGAGCTCTTTCCCATTTCAGGGGCCTGTGCTCATGTTCCACTCCCAGAGGAGACTGGGTGAGCCTGAGAGTACGTGAGACTGAAAAAGCCCCAAAGAGGGCCTGGATGGCCGTGTGCTCTGTGAGCCGACACCCATGGAAGGTTCTGGGTTCTCATCCTGAGACCTTCCTCAGTGCACTGGGCCCAGTACGGGGCTGACGGAGGCTGGGGGGGGGGAACTGTGGCGTTGGGACCTGTTAGGGGGCTCTTTCTCTGCTTCTCTGTGTCTTTCTTGTTCATGGAAAAAATAGACTTTAAAAAAATACGAGAAGGGATTCTGGTGTAATCTGTGGTGTGTGTCATGAAACAGTTTAGATGGCCAGCCTTCTATCTGTGATGGTGATACGGTCTCCGTGAGGCCCCATCATAGTTACTTATCACTGCAGAGCAAATCACCTAAACTTTCCTAACTTAGAAACAACAGATTTCTTTATTTACCTTTTAAGACTCTTTTCAAGCATTCCCTCTGAGAAGCACTTCCTGGCTGGCTTTTTACGAATTAGGCCCTGGCTCCCTGGTCTTCCTTTGTACTTGACATCTCATTGTTGTCATTGCTAGGAATTAATATTTTCATACCCATAACTTCAGTTCCCAAACTATTCCTTAAACATAATAGATGCTCAATAAATGGTTGTCGATCACACTTAAGAAACTCACACCGGGGCCAGAGGTAGCTCGGCGGTTAAAGTGCTGGACTCGCACATGACCGACTGTGTTTAAGCCCCAGCCCTGGTGGTTTAAACTCACACCAGCTACATGCGCACGCATTCCCAAAATCCCCAGGAGGAGAATGGGGGAGAAGGGACTGTGGTGTGACCATCCTCCCTGGGGGATGACTCTCATTTTCTGTCTCACTGTCTCTCTCCTCTCCAGCAAGTGCAAACACCCATGGCAAAAACCTTAAAAAAAAAAGAAATAGCTCATACTTTTGTCTAATTTAGCTTTATTCCTTAGAAAACTTAGGTCCACTGCAGAGAATCTAGCCTTTTGCCAAATGGCAAACATGCCTTTCTTTGTTTCTCATGTATGGTTGAAGATTAAATGTAGACTGCTTGACTTGCCAGTTCACTTACTCCCAGGAGGACTCTTGAAGGGTCTCTCTCTGTAGGTCCCTGTGCCACCCCGACTCTAAATCAATTCTGGTCCCCTTAGGAAGTCACACGATGAGCCCGCAGCCCAGAGACGGCTCAGTGACGAAGTCAGCACCGGCTCACTGTTCCAAACTTTCTGAAGGCAGGCTGCACCTGGCTGAGCTAATGCTTTCTCCCTACCCCAGCAGGAGCAGCTTCCTAGCAAATTCTTGGTGAGTGAATTAATGAAACTCCATCGAGAGCTCAGACCTCATTTCTGTTATCCGAGACCTGTGATCACTCAGAACCTTAGGCCTAACTCATTATTTCACGTGACCCAGACATCTCGTCCTGGTCTCTGACTCATCTCTTCCAGGGCCTGTGGTAGCTGATCTTTAGCGTCTGGCTCCTTGCTTACTCAGAACTAAGGGACTTCTTTGTCTCTTGGCCTTCTAATAATACTGACCAGAGATGTCCTTAGCGGATTTTTTCTCCACCCGTAGCCGGAATCATCAGCACACACATTAAATGTGTTTAGAAATGTTTGAACTGAAGAGAATTACATTCAGATTGCTAAAGTGAACAGACCCTTTTAGAAACGAGTTTTGGGCAGAAATTAGGGTTCAAAATTTTGAGTCCATTAGACTGACTAACTTGTAACCTTCAGCAATTCAATGCAAATTAATTTTTATACCAACCAGTGAATCAAAGGAGGGGAGGGAGCTGAGTGAGCGCATAAATATGGTTGCCAGGGAAACCTTTCCTAACAGGAGAGCACCTCCCAAGAATTTACAGGCCCAAAGGAGCAATGTAACCCGATCTTTCTCGGTTCTCTTTCTGATGTGGGAAGATGTTGAAACTAGGGTACAGATAGAGATGGCTTTGGATTTTGCAAGAGATTCTCCTCCTTAACGAGAGAATAAGGAGGAGAATTCTCCCGGCAAACCCCAGCTGTGATCCAGGCACCTTCCTTCTAAGGAACCACTAGGAACGCAGCTTCTATGATCTCGCGTCTGAGACGATATTAATTCAGTCAACAGAAACTTAGTCAGCACTTCCAACGTGGCCCATTGCCCAGAGCGACTATAACTCAATGACATTCCGAACAATTTGAAAGGTGGACTGCATTAAACTGAGGGGATAGTTCTCAAATTTTGCCCTCATTTTGTAAGTAGATCTAATTAAACATTTAATAGTTTTTTTGTTTGTTTGTTTTTTGTCTGTTTGTTTAGAGAGGTTTTTGCTATAGGATGCACACGCTCGCCAGAAAGACAAGAGAGACAGAGAAACAGAAAGCAAGAAGTCACCCCACAGGGGGGATGGCCACGTTGTAATCCCTTCTCCTCCATTCTCCTCTCGGGGTCTTGGGCACGCACGCACATGCGCCCGGTGTGAGTTTAAGCCACTGGGTCTGGGACTTTAATCACGGTCGACTACATGGAGTTCAGTGACATAGCCATTATGCTAACTGCTGGTCCCTCCTTTTCTTTTTTATTTTATTTTCACTTACAACTAATGCTTGCATTTGTTTGGGAAAAAATGACAATTTTTAAGCCCTTTCATCTTTTAAGGTGCTGGAATTTGGATCCTTGCAGGATACCTGTCTCGGGCCTGCAGAGAGGCAGTGGAGAGCAGGGGCGCCAGAGCTCGCCTTGAGATCTAGCCTTGCCTCTACCCTCCACGAAGTGTGATCATCACCGTCTCCTTCAGGTCTTCACTGTCTCTAAGCCCCCGGCCACATAGAGAAAATCACTGTCCCTGCCTCAGAGTTATGTCAGGGCGTTAGGAAAGTCATGATGTGTTTTCTATGCAAAAATGCGTCACGACTTTTCCAATGACCCTATAGAATTAAACAGGTTAAGACATGTGAGACGTGGTGCCAGCAGGTGGCATGGTAGTTTAGGCGCTAGACTCCAACATGGCCGACTGCAGCTCAAGTCCCAGACCTGGTGGCTTGCTTTCTCACTTTCTCTCTCTCTGTCTCTCTTTTTCTCTATCGCTGGTGAGTGCACATGCCCTATAGCAAATTTAAGATAATGATATTAATAAATTAATTTATTTAAAAAGGCAAGTGAGATGCACTGTGCAGCTTTTACTTTTTGTTACTTCCTGTGACCTGCTAGGTGGTAGAGCTGACTGCACTGACAGAAGAGAAAGTTGGCACTCAAAGAGGTCTAAGAGCTCCCCTAAAGTTGTGCGGTAGAGTGGGGTACAGATTACTCTCATCCGTAATTTAGAACCAAAGCTTTCAGTCCACTTAGCAGGAGAGAGAAAATGAGAATTGGAGTAAAAGGAAGAACTTGCTTTTGGAGCATTGTGAGGTAGACAACTTGGCTAAAAAGCACATGAAAATGAGATTGCTTTCTCCGAGGCCAAGTGAATGGGAAATGCTCGGGAACACATAGATAAAGAGCATCGTACCGGTCAGGCCCGTGGCACCTCCGGCCCCAAATTCAGGCGTTGGTCACGATGGCAGCAAATGGAGAAGAGTCTTCCAGCTGCCACTGTGACCATGACAGAGTCATGACAGGATGGACTTGCCCAACCCTGTCTTTAATGAGCTGGCTCTGTCTTTTTCACCCAACTATTTAAGCTTTGTTTCTATTTTTTGCCTTTCTAATCTATTCAGTTATTCATCAAACATCTTCAAAGTTCCTATACCTCATTTTAGTCATTGGGATGCAAACGTGAATAGGACCCAATACTGATCCAGAGGTTTCTAAGGAAGAACAGACATGGCACATGAGTTATGGTCCCCCTTTTTCTTTTTCTTTTTAAGTTTTGCTATGAGGGTGCATGTGCTCACCAGAGGCAGAGAGCGAGGGATGGCCACACTGCAATTCCTTCTCTGGTCTCCGCTCAGGGTTTTGGGCAACACGTGTACACATGTCCAGCATGATTTTCAAGCCACCAGGTCCAGGACTAGAACCGTGGAGTCGGCCATGTGGGATCCAGTGCCCTAACGTGCCATAAGGGAAGTATTTTGAGGAGGGATTACTTAACTCTGCTTGGAATTTAGTAGGAGATTTTCTGGAGAAAGTGAACTTCGAGGTGATGATCGGATGAGGAGGAGCTCCCCAGGCAGACAGACAGCCGTGAGTGCCCTGAGCGGGGCGTGTCTGTGTACGTGAGAGAGAGCGTGGGGTGGGGGGCTCCAAGCCAGCAGGACTGCAGTGTGGAGGGTGTGGGGCACTCACAGGCGCAGCTAGAAAGGTAGGCCGGTGTCAACACAAGGGTGCGTTTGCAAGCTGAGGGGTCGGACTTGGTGGTGGAAGCCTGGCGAGTGGTCAGGGCTCTTTAGGGGTAACCTGAGGAGGTCTTCCTTCCAGCGGTGCAGAGATGGTGTGGACAAGAGAGAGCCGGATGGAATCTCGCAGTGAGAGAGGATGCTCAGGCCCAGCCTGGTGGCACAGGCCGAAGGGCACCACTGCACAGTGCTGGCGCCCCGTGGAAGGTCCAGGTTCCGTTTGGAGTAGCCGAAACATGCCAGGTTCGGCAGCGCACCCCTGTAGTCCCAGCTGACCCGGGGCTGGGTGGGAGGATCGCCACATGGCAAGACCCTGTCAAAAACACCTTTCTAGCGTTCTCCTCTCTCCCTTTCTCTTTCTCTCAAAGAGAAAAAAATGAATGAATGAATGAATGAGCGGAACCCCAATTTGACTTTTTGTCTCCTGCTGGTTTTTCACTCTGGATGCGTATTATTCGTGTTGGAGATGTGGGGTGCTGGGCTCGCTGCTGGAAACACTGAGAGAAGCTGTGCACACCCACATCTTGCAGGGTTTTGTTCGTCCTAAACACACGTCCTTGAGTGATCGGCGTTCCCCACCCACCTTCTCTCTCACCAGTCCCGGCATGGTGCGCGGCGTGTCGGGGGCTGGCTGTGCTTCTCATGGCCCTGCCACAATGCCTTCCTCCCACCCTCCGCCTCCCCAAAGTGCAGTCCTAGTCACATACTGAATTCCTAGAGAGGGCAAGTCTATTACACCCCGGATTTGACTTCTGCTAACTTCTGTATTTTGCTCTCCTTTGCCCCAAACCTCAAGTTCCGTGTGTTCACCCTCCGTCACGCAGTGAGCTCCGGGGCCTTCTTCCTGTCCCTTCTGGCGGGGAGTCCTTTATTCTGTGTGCTCCAGGACTGCGCACCAGAATCGCAGACGGCATGTTCTCTTGCCTTCCCCCGGGAGATCACATTCCCCGAAAGAATGACTATCCCACTCCTAAAACTAAAGAAATAACAGATGAAAGAGCACTTGTACTGAAAGGGAGAAGGCAGCCCTGTTAGAAAGGCTGCATTGCGGTCACAGTGCACCGAGCGCGTGCACATGCTAGTTGCCAGGCTAGGGCACGGTGTGCTCTGAGTCCTCACGGCACCTCGTCTTCCTCCTGTCCTACAATGAAGAGGCTCCGGGAGGTGGACTGGCCTCTCCAAGTCAGAGCACCTAGATGTCAGAGAGCCAGATTTCAGACGTAGGCCTGTCTGCCTCGGACTGGGCAGCCCACTGCCGTGTGCTGTGGGCGCTTGTACGAGGTCTGCATACGGGGCCCTGTGGTCAGTAAGCCCGAGTGGGACCAGCAGTTAGCGTAATGGCTATGTCGCTGGACTCCCACGTAGTTGACCGCAGTTCGAGTCCCAGACCCGGTGGCTTAAACTCACGCCGGGCGCGTGTGCATGCGTGCCCAAGATCCTGAGAGGAGAATGGAGGAGAAGGGATTGTGGCATGGCCATCCCCCCTGGGGGGGGGACTTCTCGTTTTCTATCTCTCTGTCTCTCTCTGTCTGGCGAGCGCACGCACCCTATAGCAAAAACCTCTCCAAAAAAAAAAAAGTAAGCCCGAGTCAGTTTTGTTTCAATTTTCCTTTACTCATCACTGCCATCATCAAATCTGTCTCCCAATTTTCTTGATTCTTGTTTGTGACTTTTTTTAAGGTTTTTGTCATAGGGCATGTGCACTCACAAGAAAGAGACAGTGAGGGAAAGTGAGAAATCACCCCTACGGGGATGGGCACACTGCACTCCCTTCCCCTCCATTCTTCTCCTGGGATTTGGGGCACACGTGCACATGTGCCCAGTGTGTTTTTCAGGCTTCTAGATCCAAGATTTGAACTGCTTTTGGCCATGCGGGAGTCCAGTGCTTTAACCACCATGCCGCCTGCTCACCCTGGTTTCTAGTGCCTTTAATAGCTGATTTATTTGAATCACGAGAAGAAATAGATAATCTGAATAGACCTACAT